AAATACGCAGCTGAACCGAACGGAGGTGAGGGCTCGTTGACATACCCGTACGAGCTAACAAATGTTCATTGCATTGCGAACTAGGAGCTAGCTAGGAACATACACTAATGTTGATAAAACTTGTAGCGCGTGACGTCAGCAGCGGGTACACATTACCTTCACAGAGCAGTGGCTTCGAAGAAGGCCGTTCTCTTCTGAAGAGTGTGCCGACTCATCAGCTAAGTGCGCAGACTGCACTCGTCACTAATTACCCCGGGCAGCGCGGGCACGTAGAGGGCGTCTCGCGCTCCCTCCCCTGTCTGTCCGTATTCAGTCCCGTATCAAAAGAATTCAATTAAAAATAATGTACTGAGATTACAATCCTTTTCCTTAGAGACCAAAAGATCAATAAAGATAGATAATTTTGACGCGTCGTTGAAACTTCAGTTTGGGACCAAATTGACAAATGGCGACTTTTTATTTCTGCTTTTAATAATCGATTAAATAACTATAATACTGCGGCTCTCTGCGAGACGTCATTGAAGAAAAACTAAACCATATTTTTTTGTTTAAAGTATCTCTAGAAATTGGTTAACTGATTACAGAAAACCTATTTTTAATGAAAAAATATCTTTAATTACAAATATTTTTGATGAAATGATCCATTATTTATCCTCGCACGTCGCCATGATTGGCTTTTCTGAAAATAATATTTTTTTTTTTTTTTTTACTTTGTGTACGACACAGATGTCAGCTTTGTTATGATATTATTGATAACCTCCAAATCTAGGAAAATTAATCAAAGTCGCTGGACGTGGAGTGTCAGGTTTTTCCAAAAAGTCCAGTGAGCTCTCAGTAAATAACCACCATTTCATTACATTATTTATGTAAGAGACATTATTTCATTCTATCTTATCTCATTTTATTGAATTATATCATAATTGATAACAGTCTCAAAGAAATGAACTCCCACCTTACATCATTTTTCGTTCCATATTATTTTTCATATAACAGAAACATAAAATATCAGATTTGTATCGTGTGATGCCTTCGCCCTTACTTTTGGAAGAAAGACGTGTGGCACTCGGAGGCTGCCGCGGTAAAGCTATTGCATAGCATTTTTTATCAACTTATGCAATTATAAATCGACAATAATAATTTAATATTAAAGTAAGATCCGGCGAGAAACTCAGTGGGCTAACTTTCAATGAATCATTGAATTCAATGAATTCACTAGAGGGCGCTACATGGGATAGAGACACGCCTTTGGATGCTAGTTCTAGCTCTCATTCGCCCAGAATCAACGGTTTAGCTAGTTTATTTTTAATGCCACTCCAATCAGTGAATGAGTAGTAGGAGTAGTAATAAAATTCTTCAACTAAGCGATAGAAAATGGCACGCCTAACGCATTGTAATGTGATATAATTTTCTATTTTATAATTCCATTTGTCGCCGATAGATGCGCTTGACGCAAAAGCTGAATCGCGCTATCGTTACCCAGGAAATTAAATCACATATTTTTATAGTACATAAATCGGTGTTTAGACTTCTTACTTTAAACACTATACAAGCGCAACGTGTGAATGTGTTGAACGCGAGCTACATAGTAGGCGTAGTGAGGGTGGAAGGTTTTTTTCGTTACGGAATTTCATGATTACGCTCTCAAGCTGCGCTCAAGGCCCGCGATAAAATCTATGCAATAGCTTAAAAATGGAACTTCTACTACTGATAACCTCAAAACACTTTTCTAATTTCAGCTCGAAGCATGCGGGCAGTCTTGACTTGAACACTATTCAAACTGTGGTCTTCTTTACCAATTCGGCGTAAAAGAATCCGAACGTGTTTTCAGACATATTGAACTTAGTGAAACATGTAAATTTGTTAAATGAACGGGCGAGATTGATGGAAGGTCACCATGTCACTGGTTAACTTTTTTTGAGACAATTACTCCACTTTACGCCACTGATGATGCATCACCTTGAAAAGTGATAACTTTTTTCAATTCGTTATTAAAAAATAATCAGAGTGAATAGATAAATTACTTTCTTAAATTGATCTAATTTTCTAAAAAAAGCCCTGCTCTATGCGACCTGGCTACGGAACCTTCATAACAAATAACTGACTGACTGATATTCCAGGGAGCGTGTCTAATGGCGTCCTCATTACTCTCACATACCTCTGTTTCTTTATTAAACTTAATAAACGTGAAAGTCGTTATATTAAGTAATATTGAACAGCGGCCCTCGAGTGCCTCACACTCGTAGATGAAGAACACGCAACAAACAAAAGACTCGATCTACAATTCTGGAGCACCGTCAGCTATACGTGACGTCACAGTGTATCGCCCGCCTCGCACATTACTCTCTTAATATCAAAGGTACATCTAGGTACTCGTAGTTACACTCGCAGTCTGTGTGCAGAGGCGCCGGCTCACAGACGAGACTGCCGCCGTGCAATGTGAGCCGCTGCCAGGAGCACCATAGCGAGTCAACTCACGGACATATATTTTTTTTCGGGCAGCTGCTGAACCTCATACCAGATGCCCCCGTCTAGGCGGTACGCGGGATATGTGAGATTTGATGGTCTGCAGATATTGGGGGCAGACCGCGGGCCCAAGAATGTTTTAGAGCCCTATCCACCAATCGACTCCCCTTGCACTCTCACCCGATGTCCGATCTCCGCCCGGGTTAGAGCCCGGGCAGAGTAGAGGTCTCCCATGGACATCTCAACATTGCTTCGTTCATAAATTTAATAGTCCTTCGAGTAGAGACGGGTGGGCAGTTCACGGCAGGCCGGTTCCTCGGTACTGACCCGTGTGCTCCTGGTAGGCCATACTTCTACTTGAGCTACGGTGAGCTTCACTGTTCACAGACAACATCGTGGGAATTATTAAAAAGTGTGTTTGTAATACAAATCTATGGATTACTTCCGCCGGAAGTCCCGTTCGAATGGAAAGTTTCTGATTGTTCCGCCGACTTGCCTACTGAGCCGCGTGTTCCTCAGAGATGTACAAGGCTCAGGCTGCTGACTCGGTATCTGCTAGCTCACCAGCAATCACTTCTTTAGGCGGTCGCTCAACGAGCTGCGGGTGTTGTGCTGAGCTGGCACTGGACCGACGCCACGCACACACGCACACACGCACGCGCGATACTCTGTTGGTGGACACAATGGATTCTCTTCAAAGCCTCGCTGTCAGAAATGAACGAGCGCCAATAATATAGAGCAGACATCTGACTGCATTACACAGTAACACGTTACGTACACACTCGTATGTGTGTACTGAGTTCTGTTCAAAATTACAATTAACATTTTAGTACCTGCATCATCATATCGAGGAGTGTAAGGCTATTTCGTTTAAGCGACATTTATGCAACTTTACAGGAGATCCATTTGAAGTTTAAAATGTCTAAAAAACATCATAACAAAAAGCTTCTTTAGCTACTTAAATGGGATAAACTTAAGTGGTTACCGGAGCACGTGGACATCTATATACTACTACAATAATTGATAGTTGCAAGCTCGACTCGAATGCACGGGCGTCTTATCCACGCCACGCCGACTCAAACCGAATCGCTTAAACTAAATAACCTTTTATCCCTCGATATTATATTTTAGTACAATAATAAGCATTTAACAATTATGTAGCACCAGTTCTCCGAGAGGTGTCGTTGGCAGAGCACTAGCGGCTCAATGGAATCAATTCTAATTTAATTAACTATGAACAAAGCTTTCCCTCACTTTGAGCGTAACGATACTATTATTTTAAGTACATTATATAATTAAACACATTGTGTTCAGAGTCGCGGGAATGCGCAATCACGTGGCAACTGAGTATACCTTAATGTACCTATATTATATACATAACAATATTATTATACAAAGCACGCACCCGCTCTGTGATGGTTTTAAATATCACATTAACACAAGCACGTCCCAAGGTTTCACCTGTATTCGTGAGAATAATTATATTAAGAACGAACGCGAACTGGTCATATTGTTACGACCACAAAAAAAGATGCGTGGCTCTTCACAAAAGGCAAGATAATTGAGAATTCCCTAAACTATTATACTCGTAGTATAGGCTCATAGACAATGAGAAGAGTTACCGAGGATCGTAACAGCAGAGCGCACGCGAACCGACCTGGACATGAGCGGCCCCTGTATGTCGTGCGTCGACTCGCTAGGAGCTGGGCGGAGCTGTTAGGGCCCTAACTCACCGAGACGCCATGGCGACGTCACCGGCTACGTATCCAAACAATTCATATTACAATGTATGACAGCTAACTCACTAGGCGACGGCTTGGCGTCCATTCTCGATACGAGGGAGAACTGAACTGATAGATGGTCGCCACTGGCTACTCTATTTGGCAACTGAAGGTAGCCAGATGTAACCATGCCTACGTAGGGCCGGCGACGACGCCATGGCGTCCGTTGCCACTTCGCGCTCTCTGTCACGAATTGGCTGCACGCTTATTAAACTCGGCCCATACGCTACATCCGATGTGTGTATAAATAATAACGAGTACGATAGTACAGGCGAAAGCAGTCCATCCTACTGGTGGTGAGGGTGGTCCTCGCACAATAACATCCAAACAAACTGAAGTAAGGGCTGTCGTAGTCCTCACACTGCCGACATCGGTATCTTCGCTTGTGTTGGTTGACAGCCACCCCCTCCACAGCTGGTCACCACCACACCACTGGTCACAAGCCGCTGAACCAACGAGGCGTACATTCAGCGTACATTCTACTACGAGTTCCTAGTTGAGTTGAGGGGGTGAGGGAGCGTCGACCGCCTCTCTCGACCATATTCAGTCCAATAACCAAACCTATATGTATTGTTTCAGAGACCGATGTGGCTCCGACTCCGACGCCAATCAACAGTAAGTGTATCAGTTTAAAACATTTCATCACGGTCTTATTTAAATCAATCAGTATCTAATGGTAAGCCGTGTCGGATGCTATCTATAGATTCATACTTGCTCCTTATCGCACTTTTATTTATCAAACGTTCAAACAAAAGTTCACGACAACACTCCTAGTGTGAGCAGTGTGAGAGCGCTCAGCATGACGTGGTCGCGGAGACAGTGCAGCGAGGCGCGCGATATGACGCGCATGCGCAGCGCCGAGTCCGTGTCGTGTATGGTGTCGTTGATGAGGTCCGCGTACCGACGCAGCGCCGTGAACACGCTGGTCGCCCCCCGCGCCGCCCCGCCGCCGCCCCCGCACTCCACCGGACCCATCGACGTCACGCCGATCTGTACAGACCACTCTATGAAGGCGCGACCAAACAATGGTATTTACAATATAAATATACGGCCGGCTTGTCGAAACACCCCGTCTCGAATATTCGTATACTTTTCTGTATGATTGAAGAAGGTAGAAGAAGACCTGGAGGCCTTTCCAATTTCACCAGGACAGTAGGGCAAGCACGAGCTCAGCCAGGGGGTGGGATTTGCTAACAGCTACACCTCCAAACGAGACCGGACTACTCAAGAGCAGCTGCTTCGCATAAGAATCTACTACCGGATCGGAATCGCGACCCACTGAGGAGATCCGGCGAGAAACTCAGCAGGTTGATGTTTAGGTAGCACGTTGAACTCTTTGCCGAGTTCGACGAGTACGGTTACCGGGGTCCCTAAGCCTACTCCAAATGTTAGAGCTGAAGGCATCTAATGCAAGAGTTATTGGATTTGATGGATCCGTAAGGACGTGTCTAGGGCGTCAACGGTGAGTGGCTCCTATGTGAACAGGATTCGGGGAGTATTCAGCGTCGGCTACGATAAAGCGATTATCGTGACACATAGCCTTATCGAAGTAACGTTCCGACGCTGACATCATGTGTTTGCGGATCGATTCGAGGTTCAAGTTATCGTGTAGGCCGACGTTCTTCAGGAAAAATTGAACTCCGACAGCTGACCTGCAAAAGTGGGATTTTAGAGGTTTGGAGGCGGTCTAAGTGTGTGGAGGTCGCGTGAGCGAACACCTAATCCTAACCTAAACCAAATGACGGGCCTAATCCAAGTTTTGTGAAGTGTCACCTTGTTCCGAAGGGACATTTTACTCCGCTTATAGATCATAGGATAAAGTCTGTCGAGAATAACCGCGGCGTGGTCGCGGACTGATTTTATATGCGGACGGATTGGCATCGATGCATCGAGGTGACATCCCGGATACTTGACCTTCCTGGCCCAAGGTATTTTGGTATTGGTTAGAAGAGGGTGATCGGGGGTTTGTACCTAGTGCGGAAAGAAATACGGGTTGAGTTTCCCCTTTGAAAAAGCACCGGTATGTTTTTCGCTGGGTTGTTGTCTTTGCGCCACTTTCGGAACCACTGGCCGAGGGTTACGGCTGCGCTCTGGAGTTTACTCGCGATTAAGGACTTGTTTCTATTCGATTAGTAAACGGTCGTGTCTTTGGCGAATAGGGCTAAATTGTTCGGCGGCGACCGCGGGATGTCGTTAGTAAACAAACTAAAGAGACGGGGAGAAAGGACGGAGCCTTGAGGGACTCCGGCCGTGAGAGGTCGTGAGGAGGAGCGGGTTCCCTTGACTCGATATCGAAAAGAGATTCCTATTCTTTCAAGTAGTGTAATCTACCTACAACACATCGACCTAGGCGAGCATTCTCTGAAGGTTTGGCTATAAACATAATATGTTACTCGCAAATGAAGGAACGTTTGACGGACAAACAAGTTTACAGCATAAGTGCACAGCATACAGCACACAGCATAGAAGAATGTACCTGAACCCCTTTATAGTGGACCGGTCCTCCGGAATCCCCCGAGCAGACCCCGCGTAGATCCCTTGCGGCGCCGCACACGCAGTGGACCCACGAGCCACGAGCACACCTGGACATCACTAGCCGCACGCAAAACAACTCCTCACCCAGCACGGACCGCTCCGTGCGGCCGTACCCGAACACCTGCGACGCAAGCTCAGGCATAATTACTATTGCTTCTCTACCACTCGACCTATCATATATTAAGTACATTTTGTTGGTAAATTTACTGTGTACTCTACTTGACAGATATAAGTTGATCAAAGCGTTTGTTGTTATTACTATACTTGCACTTCTTCACCGGTAATCTCCTCTGGGTCGTACAGTTTCATGGCGACGAGCGGATCGCGGGAAGGCGCCGCCACCAGTAGCATGTCGGAGCGCGTGCGCACTAGACCCACGTCGTGGTGCAGCACCGTCACGTCCACGCCGTGACCCTCGTCCTCCTGCACCACCTTGTAACTGTCGCACATACAAACAAACACTCATGAGTTGTGATGCATTGTGTCGTCGCAGTGTGCACACTTCAGTCGTGATGCACTAACCCTGGATGCATGTACAGATAGTGAACGGGCGCGACATCTCCGTCGGTGGTCGGGTGTCTTCGCGTGTTGTACTTGACGTAAGAGAGGCGCGGCGAGACGCAGTGAGCGGCAGTGAGCACCCAGCGTAGCGCCAGCACGGCCCCGGAGCATCGCGCCACCCAGAACCTGTCTAGTAAAGCACACGCAGTGCCACCCTCCCCGACCCCCGCGACTGCACCTCCGAACACACGCCGCGACCCCTCTACCCCTACCCCGATGTCGCGGTAGAATGCGTAACGACTGGTGTTCGCGGAGTACGCCGGCACCAACACCTGAGCCGCCAACAACAACTGCACGAGCATTGTTCACTTCGATCTGACCACGATCTCTATCTATCTATCTCTTAGGTTTATGGCGTGACCACGATCTCACCGACGTCTTGAGAACTCGCTCTCAGAGCGTGCGTCAAACTGACACTTTATGTGACAGTCATCGATAGTAGAAGATTAACAACCTCTATAGAATATCAAAGTTCAATATCAAATCAAATTCATTATCAAATTCCACTCAAAGATACACGGAAAATCAAAGAATTATATGTACATTCCTTGTTCTTGCCTACGTGCACCCGGCGCAGCATTTCCTCATATTATGCTGCATAGAGATATGGCATGAGTGTTACAACCTGTTAGTGTTACAACTAATGCCTAGTCATTTGAGTGCGCGATAGTAAAATGTTAATTAGGTACCCAAAAAAAAAAACATTCTGTTCGAAAATATTTATGTTTTAACACAATAATTACCTAATGCTTAATAACGTAAAATATATGACGAATGTTCTGTAACGAGAATACTCCAGGTATTCTTAAGTCCTCGCAATTATTTAATTGATAAGTCACTTCGTCATCAGAGTCATTACTTTCACTTTCAGTGTCACTGACTAATTTAATGATGAGAGGCTCATCTATATGTATGCATCCCTACTTCTGTCCTCGTTTTCAATATTTTTATGTGATTGCAATGCTTTTGCCATTCATACACTGTTGTCTTATTGAAGACTTCTGAAATCACAATAGGCATGTCAGAATTATATTTATCGGTATTCTATTAGCTAGGGTTCGTTGCATCTAGCTCCAATCGTTTCGACTGCACTCAAGTCGCAGTGGTGTGACGTACCCGTAACTGTATCCCTTGTCATCCACCAGTACGTCTACAGTTCGTCTACAACTTGTCATCGTACATTGGTTCTGGTTGTGTCGTATGGCTCTTTAAGCTATTCGTTGTATCCTGTATATTTTCCATCAGCCGCTTCTGCATCTTAACCTTTTAATAATTTCCATTAGGGGTTGTGTTTGATGGGAGAGATGTGCTCCGCACTAAATGCTTCACTTTCCCCCCTTTGCCTTTTCATGAGTTTTGTCTCATGCGAGGTTTGGACGTTGGTTGTTGAGAGACAGGAGGTTTTAGTCGGTTCGACTCCGACATGCCCCGCCCTCCATCCCCAGTGAAGGGCTGAAGTCCGGCGATTTCGATCTGACAAAAAAAAAAAAAAAAAGAAAAAAAAAGAAAAAAAAAAAAAAAAAGGGATTGTGTTTGTGCAAATATTATGATATGGGGCGCTTTGCAGTATATTAATTGTTGGCTGACGTTTACAGACAGAAGGCAGAAGTATATCGGTCACCCATTTTCTACAATCTGCTGTGATCGCCTTGCACAAAGTGGGTACGGAGCCGTCGGTCATATTCCAGACACTTCAAAAGCTTGGCATCAACCATATATTCGTATGTCGTCGTATGTTGATAGTAACAGATACAACAACACTTCGTCTGTCCAAGACCAGAAAAGTTCGGCGCGGCCGCGTGCTGTTAGAACTATTATACAAAGGCTGTTAATGCTGTTAAGGCCAGAATATACAGTTGACCCTATTAACTAAGCAGGGGTACTAAGCCAAAGTAAGCAGATCAATAATTGTTCATGAGGGAGGACAAGCAGGGTTTGTGTAGAATACTTTGTTAATGCTCCAATCCAATACAAAAAGTGGGTTTACCACGACGACATGAACCACAAGATTATTTTTTATTTATTTTTTCTGAGATGGGTGGACGAGCTCACAGCCCACCTGGTGTTAAGTGGTTGCTGGAGACATAGACCTATACAACGTTAACCCATCTTGAGATATAAGTTCTAAGGTCTCAGAAAGTTATAACGGCTGCCCCACCCTTCAAACAGAAACGCATTACTGCTTCACGATAAAAATAGGCAGTGTGCTGGTACTTGTCCGTGCGGACTCACAATATTTCCTATCACCAGTAACTACGCAAATTATAATTATGCGGGTTTGATTTTTATTACACGATGTTAATTCCTTCACCGTGGAAGTCAGCCTCACTACTAAGTATGTACAAATAAGGCTAAGTTCATATAACCGCGCGGTACAAGATCAGTCAAAGCAGTGTTTATTGTTCACATAACCACGCGGCACCGCGCGGTGCGCTGCGGCCCGTGCGCCGCATCTTGTAGCGCGCGTTCATGTTTTATAAACATGTATCGACCCATTCAGTTTTCAACGCAATCATATAAACAATCAAAAGATGCAACTGACTTTCTAAAGTAGTTAAAAAAAGATGTGTGGTGTCGTGGGACACCGGATTGGAACGAAGTTCCTTATTATAAAAATATTAATTTTAAGTTGTATTCGAGGTATAAAGAAAATAATTATTCGGGTATACATTTTTTAATTGATAAAAAGAAAAGATATTCCAAAACAAATGAGTATACACTAAAATAATAATCATCGAAATCGCTTGACGTGATATTGAGTTATTTATCTATTTGTCGCGCACGTACTTAATGCAATTTTAAGGCTTACATGGTTTTCTGATGGATACCATAATCAGAACTGGACTAAATTGAAATGATACGAGACGGAAAGCGTCAGCTTTCTAATACAAAAGAATCATCAAAATCGATTCACCTAGTCAAGTCGTCGTGGCCTAAAGGATAAGACGTCCGGTGCATTCGTATGTAGCGATGCACCGGTGTTCGAATCCCGCAGGCGGGTACCAATTTTTCTTATGAAATACGTACTCAACAAATGTTCACAATTGACTTCCACGGTGAAGGAATAACATAGTGCAATAAAAATCAAACACGCAAAATTATAATTTGCGTAATTACTGGTGGTAGGACCTCTTGTGAGTCCGGACGGGTAGGTACCACCGCCCCGCCTATTTCTGCCGTGAAGCAGTAATGCGTTTCGGTTTGAAGGGTGGGGCAGCCGTTGTGACTATACTGAGACCTTAGAACTATATCTCAAGGTGTGTGGCGCTTACTTCGATAAGGCTATGCGTCATTATAATCGCCTTATCGTAGCCGCCGCTGACTACTCCCCGAATCCTGATCATGCAGGAGCCAGTCACCGTCGACGCCCTAGACACGTTCTTACGGATCCATCAGATCCAATAACCTTTGCACTAGACGCCTTCAGCTCTAGGAGCAGGCTTAGGGACCTCGGTAACCGTACTCGTCGAACTCGACAAAGAGTTCGCCGTGCAACCTAACCCATGAATCAGCTCGCTGAGTTTCTCGCCGGATCTTCTCAGCGGGTCGCGATTCCGATCCGGTAGTAGATTCATTCGCGAAGCAGCTGCTCTTGAGCTGTTAGGTCTCCTTCGGAGGCGNATAAGGTTAAAAATATTTGTTTAAAATTTCGTGCTTATTGTATTGTGGAACTAGATGTAGTTCTTGGTATTACATTTCAATGCTCAGAACACAGTAAGTATTGAAAGACGTAGAGTTGCAGAATATATTTGTTTTAGGTTTGTTTTGTATGGTCGCAACTATTTTTGACCGATTCAAAAAATTAGTAGATAATATTTTATATTGCCGCTATTACAACAAATAGGTAATAAATAATAAAATTGAATAAAGTAAAAAAAATATGAAAGGAAACAAAGGAAAAACAACGTCTTCCACGTATTCTTTTTACAGAAGTAATTAAAACAATATTATTACTTTTTGTTTAATTACCTTTAAACAGATTCAGCTTGTTATAAAGCTGTTTTTTAGAAGTAATTTTTATATGAGCGGTTTATTTTTTACAAATATAATTAATCTTATATTAAAGAATTTTTCTATAATCAGTTTAATTTAGGCTTATTTTATGGCTGTGTTCGTTTCCCCTAGAAAACAAATCCTTTTCAGCATATACGCTTAAAATATTTACACATACATATAAAGTTTTATAATACTTTTTTGCATTGATTTGCCACCACCATTGAACATTCTAGAATTTTATAAGGGTTCTATAATTCTTATCCTTTTTCTTTCGCGACTATATAATATATCCATTGTGCACAGCGAAAAGGGGCTACTAGGAAATCTACAAACAAAAATAACATTATAAAATAACAAAACTACTCTATGCATTCCCTGTTCAAGAATAGGTGATGTTTGTTACAATAGTTGGTGCCTTGTTGCAAACATTGGCCAAACAATTACAATATTCGTAAATTGTATTTTATTTACTATATAATTCTGTTTATTATTTTATGAAATTCACTTCATAATATAAACTTACCAAAAAAATATATTCCTTCCAAAACCTTGGTGTTACGGTGGTTTTTTACTCCGTTTTTGAACGCGCAGTGCAGCGTTTTGACGTCTTAGTGTTGGCTATGATTGGACCATACTAATTTGAAATAAGACCACAAATTTATTTGTGGTCTTATTATTCGGGCCGTTTTTGAAGCGCTAATCGCGAATCTAGTAGTATTATTGATCGAAGATCGAAGTCATTGAAATCATATTATTATATTTTGAAATGAACAGGCGTGCTTAAAAGGTTTCATAAACGTGAATTGGTGTACCTAGAAGGCTTTTTAAGATTTTAATTAAGATGAAACTTCAATTTTGAAGTAAAATTTCTTAGTATAGTGAAAATGAAGACAGCTATTTAGTTGAGAACCCAACGCGTCTATCTTACGACGTTCGAGGNCCGTACTCGTCGAACTCGACAAAGAGTTCGCCGTGCAACCTAACCCATGAATCAGCTCGCTGAGTTACTCGCCGGATCTTCTCAGCGGGTCGCGATTCCGATCCGGTAGTAGATTCATTCGCGAAGCAGCTACTCTTGAGTTGTTAGGTCTCCTTCGGAGGCGCTCGGGTAGCTGTTAGCAAATCCCACCCGTCCTGGCTGAGCCTTTGCTCGCCCACCTGTCCTGGTGAAACTGGAAAGGCCTCCGGGCCACCAGTAAACCTTCAATCATAAAAAAAAAAAAAAGGTGTGTGGCGCATTTACGTTGTAGATGTCTATGGGCTCCAGTAACCACTTAACACCAGGTGGGCTGTGAGCTCGTCCACA